AGACCACGTGTCATTCCCTAGGGTATCATTTGGTTGTGGTGCAATGTTTTCCCAATTCAGACCACGTGTCATTCCCTGGAGTATCATTTCTTTGTTTAAGGTTTTCGCTCGGTTGCACATGAGAAGACACATGAATATGGATACAGCTCGAACAAAGAATCTTATCCTCAAGGGAATGACACGTGGTCTGAAATGGGAAAACATTACGCCCAAGCCGAAGAGGTCTATTGGAACCATGTAGTTACCTAATAAACCCGTGGTAAGACAGGAAGTGTTTGCTTCGTTTGTAGTCATCAGGGTCGTTGCCGGCGCATTTTCTTTTGAACATCGTGTGAACCTTGTCATGGAAGTAAATCAGTCTGGAGCAAACATCGACACTCAAGTACTCCTGAAAACAGGTTTTGCATTTGAGAACCTTGCAGTAGTAAATCAGAATGGTGTAACGGTAGTACACTCTCCTCTTTCCTCTGGGGTCTAAGGTTCGATTCCTTGACTCGGTATCACATGTGAGTAGAGATTGTTAGCTCTCTCTCTTGTTTCGAGGGTTTTTCTCCGGGTTCTCTAGTTTTCCTCCCTCTGTAAATCCCAACACGCTAAAGTCCAATTTAAATCTGTAAATTAGCCATGCCCTGACTTAGATCAGCCCAGTGGTTGTTTTAGGGTTCTATCTGTGATTTAGCCGTGCCCTAACTTAGATCAGCCCAGAGGTTATTTCATGGTTCTATCTGTGAGTTAGCTGTGCCCTGACATAGATCAGCCCAGAGGTCGTTTCAGAGTTCTATCTGTGAGTTAGCCGTGCCCTAACTTAGATCAGCCCAGAGGTTATTTCATGGTTCAGTCTGTGAGTTAGCTGTGCCCTGACTTAGATCAGCACAGAGGTCGTTTCAGAGTTCCCTCCTCCCTTCCCTTCCCTCTCTTTTTCCTTTCCCTTTCCCTCTCCCATTTAATCATCACCTTTTGTTCCTTCATCAAGAACTCCTTGAACTCCTCCGGTGTCATCCCAAGGTGAGGAAATGATCGAGCATACCTTGCATACACGCCAAACAACTGTTAACAAAACACACACACACACATGGTAACATACTCACTTTAGAAGATCTTTTACATTTCAAATAAAAAAAAATTGTTGCTTTTTAACGTGAGGGCAGGGACACCGCAACAGCTTTCAGCATTCACAAATTTTTTTCTAATACTTGCACCCTCGGCATCCCATAATTTCTTAATTAAAACAATAGGATTCAAGATGACCGCCGTATCGGTAAAAAAGTCTATAAAATGGTATAATTGAGGTGTATCATATTCTTGTGTCTTCTCATGCACAACTATTAAACAAAGAAATGACACTCTTGAATTGATGCGTTGCAAGCATTCCCAAGAGAGTTAAAAGACAAAAACATGGCGGCCATTGTGGTACCGTTAACAATGGATGCTAATGAGAATTTTTTTGTTAAATGGTACCAACATGGCCGCGATGACGTAACGTGCAAACGAAGAATTATAGAGGCCTTTTCCAAATACGTACACGTTCACCCACCCTACACCAAGGAGTGGTCATTAGAGACCTTTAGCACGAAGTCCTTGCTAGGTACCGCAAACCTTAAACCGAGTTCGACGTCAGGCGTTTTCCGTCAAACGTTCGACAATTAGCAAGGCGTCATAACGAAGTTATTAGGGACTTTAAGATTTGCAAAATCTGCGACGGCGACGTCTACCGGAAGTGTGAATAACTTCACTTTGGGGTTTCGCGTCCTCAAAGTCTATCTTCCCTGTGGATGAGTTGACTTTACTGACAATGTTTTGAATAAAATTTCCAATGAACAGAACCCCTAAAGAAATTATTTACACTTCCGGTTGACGTCGYCGTCGTAGATTTTGCGAATCTTAAATTCTCTATTGTTGGAAGAGCCGCCGTATTAAATTTCATTGAAGCTGAGTGCTTCTCCGTGTTTGCGGGCGTGTTTCTGGGCCCGATCCCTAGTAGTATCCCCCATAGCCGCTTTCAGTGTCATCACGCAACGCTTTCTCTCAGGGGAGAAAGCGTTGCGTGACGACAGTGAATGCGGCTGTGGGGGAGACTAAATCCCTAGCGGTTAGCGGTAAACCTGATGCTAAAGGTCTCTATTGGCTTCCTCTACCTCATTTCTTCTTTAGGAGTCAGTTACTCACCCTGGCTTGCTCGTTGAGACTATCGAACAACAACAGAAATGAATTCCATACAAGACGCTCCTCCGCGTGACTCACGCCACACTGAGTCTCGAGGACATTCTGCAGCAAGAACAAAATATAACGATGTAGGTTCTCTGGTTTTCCTCTCTTCGAATAAATTAACGTGAGTTGAGTTTGTTTGATCTGTTGTTCTCTCCCTTGCCACAAGGGTTTTTCTCCAGGTTCTCTGGTTTTCCTCCCTCCATAAAAATCTACATGTGAGTTGAGTTTGTTTGATGTGTTGTTCTCTTCCTTGCCACGAGGGATTTTCCMCAGGTTCTCTGGTTTTCCTCCCTCTTCTTCACCTACCCTTATGTGGTTCTTCAGTAGTTTCTTGTTGTTCCCCTCGGGCCAGCAATGGTTGGCAAACGTCAATACTTGGTCCGCAGCGATACTTTTACTTCGTTTTGATATAAGAACTGACCAGTGTCGTTTCAACCATCTGAGATCAACCAGTCAAGGGTAAAAATAATGGAGAACTAGGTGATGTGTGCTGCTAATGCGATATCTCTGATCACTGTGTTCATAGGCTCGATCAGACAATAGAAAATCATTATTATTATTATTAATTATTATTATTATTATTATTATCTTCGACGAAACGGCGCCCATCTTGGATCGCAAGGCATTATGGGGCGTCCAGGGGGCAAATAGAGCTTTGTTATAGTAATGACATCGATTGATATTAACAGCTTACCACAAGAGAATACGACAAAAGATGAATTAAGACAACACATCGGTCACCTTTAGCCACAAAAGAAACTCTATATATTCAGTTCGCGTCATTTTTGTTTTGCCCCCCAGGCAAGATGGCAGCCGTATCGTCCAAGTATTTCATTGTTTGTCGGCTCTTCTACGGTTTTTCTCCCACCAAAGAAAAAAAAATCCCTAAATTTAAATTTGATTTTGCGCCTAAAGTTTAAATAACCACTCAAAACAACCAATCATTTCCTGGCTTTTGCAGTGGATTCGCTTCCTGGAAAAAAGAATGTAACAATTTAGAATTCGAATACAATCTTTGGACGAGGGTCACAGTTTTTTTAAAGCTCCAAATTTTTTTTTTTCCCCTCTCTCTGTCGTAAAACAAGCGGTCTTCAGTAATTTATACCCAGTAATAATAAATATTTTCGCGAATTCACAATCTGATGATATCAAAACTTAAGAGCCACTATACGTCTTTACCTTGGGCGTAATGTTCAGTTCTCCATCTCAAAACACCTGTCATTCTCTTAGAATAAGATTCTTTGGTTTAGTTGTTCGCAAACGTTAAACAAAGAAATGATACTCAAGGGAATAACACGTGGAATGAAATGGGACAACATTAAGCCAAAGGTAAAAAGTTATGTTTTGTCAAAATTCTAAATTTTCTAACTCCTACATTCGAAGCCTTCACAATCATTCTGAGTAGCCTCCTTCACAGGCTACTCCATATATTCTATATCCTCTAATGGGATCCTTGTGTTAAATTTTATGGCAGAGAAGAACTAGGAACGAGAGAGGAGGAGGAGTCTTTTTGTCCTTGCCACAGGAAGCCCAAGGAGCAAAAGGAGCCTAGGAGATTCTGACATAAGGATACAACACAACTGGGTCGATGCCTCCGTATTTCTGCCTGTTCAGTCTTGCATCTTTGCTGTAAATGATTTCTTTCAACTGAGAGTAAAAAGAACTTCCATCAATAAACTTGACGGTGTGGATATACCAGGAAAAATATCGTTATAGAGCCAATGTTGGTAGTGTTTGTCACTCCACGCAAGTATTTGCTGCTGTTGTGGCTTTATGTTTAGGAAGGAATAGATAAAGATTCCACTTCTTGCCCAAATTATCATCGTCATCGCAATCGTCGTCGACGTCATTATCATCACCATCGCCATCAGCACCAGCACCAGCACCAGCAGCACCAGCACCAGCACCAGCACCA